TGCAAGTTTGTACTGCTGATTCAGGCAGCAGTGGTTTTCAAAAGAGAGAATGACTGGGTAGTCTGATTCCACAAATGCAGTTTCTGCAATGGCTTGGATGCAATCCTGCAAATAATATTATGAATGCTTCAATTCAAATATAAATTATCAATGTAGTTTTTTGATGGAATTGAGATGCAAAAACGAGCTGTTGTGGGCTGAGGAGCACTTCAGTAATTTTATTGAACCACCTGCATACCAAAAACTGTGCTTTAGTTTCAGGGCCTCACAGCACCCATGAAGAACATGCTCCAAAACCTTCAAAACTTGCACAAGGATGTGGCTCATTGGCTTAGATTTTACCCTTCTTTCTCAAACAGAAAACAGCAAAGGATCTCAACCTTCACCAAAAACAAGTTCAACCCAACCCTCTCTTGATTATGCATAAAAGCCTCAACAATTTGAAGTCAATAGTGTATCCTCGTTCAGAATCCAATTCCCATTTTTTGCTTCCAGAAATTTTTGAACCAATTCTCTGAGAAATCGTAAGAATTATTGAGTGAGTTTACTTTTCTTTGAGAAGGTGCTGGGTTTATTATTCTTTTGGGACACAAATAGGTATAAATTTCTTAGAGATTATGTGTAGAGATGCTCCCAGTCAGTCCCAGGCTGATGGCTTTGAAGTTTTATTCATAAATTCTCTATGTTTGAAAAAATCTCTAAAAAATCTGAATCACATCATGATTCCCTTCTGAATGATTTTAAAGAAAATTTCAGGATTCGATTAATGGATAGATTTTCATCTTACATGTTTTATTTTCTGTGATTTTATTTTCCAATTGTCTGTGGAGTATCAAACCTTGAACAAAACTTCAGTGCACATAGCTTTGCCATGAGTAACAATTGGCTCCTCATCTTGTCCTTTGCCATCCCAGGCATCCAACTCAACACACCTGAAATAAAATCGAAGAAAAAATATTTATGCTTTAGTAAATAATTATATGTGAAATAATTTTCAAGTAAAGTGGGTACCCATTTATCAAGAGCCTTTTTCAACCAAAACTATAGCATACAACAATTTATTATAGTAATTGAGAAGGGGTCTTGCATATCAACATTTTTCGACACATCAACTATTTTTAAAGAGAAATTTGTGATTATCACAAAGTTCAGTTCACAGATCTAAATTTTCTCAAACCGAAGAAAGTTTCGTAGCAAAGAAAATGCATGCAGTTATTTGAAATTTGTGTCTCCGGTGGAAAATACGATATTTTCCAAAAGTTTAAAGCTCAGAAATGTCCGGATTACTTCATTTCTTTTTACGTAAAATTCCACATTCATGACTTGATAGGATGCATATTATCGAGAATATGGAACCATAGACTTAAAGAATGCAATTTACATGACTTGAAAAGGGAGATTACATTCACTAAACACCATTCCTCGAAAAAAATGCATTATACACTCAGTAAGCTTTCAGGTTGCATAACCGAATTTTCTGAAATCGTAGAAAAATTCGAAAAAATGAAAATTGAATTTTAAAATTTACCGGGCTTCCTCATCCCAAAAACCTGCTGATCTCCAGAAGTTTAGAGGTTGACAATGTCGGAATTAATTCCGTTTCTTAAATTAAATTCCATGCTATTATTGACTTGCATGATTGAAATAATAAGTTTTAGACAGTTTTGCGCGTGACTGGAACAGCAGATAAAATCATATATCGTCAATTGAAATTCATTTGAAGTTACACCCGAATCAAAAAGATTTACATTAAACAAAATTGTGGAAAGGATTAAGTTGGGTTTCGCCGGGATCCGTTACATAATGAGGTTTATTATTACTGTATTTTTTTTACCTGCATCCAGATAAGAGAACTTGGCGGTAAATTTCAGTCGAAGACTTGGCTCCAAATTGTCTCCCAATCAGGTAAGTGTTGTGAGACGAATTGATGTAATAATGAGACATGGGCTGATCCATGTCCATGTAAATGTCAAGTTTGTCAAGAAAAACTGGAGCGTTTTCGTCCGACATCAAGTACTTGATCAATCCAGCTTTGCTCAGTTCATCTTTCTCAAAA